ATCAATTCACAAAATCAACACAAACTGAGAACCAGGAATACTTACAACAAAGGGGCAAAGAAATGACGACAAACCAGCAACAGTGACTGAGCAGGAGATGCATATATGGGAAAGAGAAACAAAGACCAGGCTAATCAGCTGATTGGGAGCAGGTGTGAACAGAGGAGTCTAGAAGGGAGCTAGGGAAAAGGAGACGAACACAAGAGGGCAACCAAGAAATATCTAAGAACTCAAATAAAATCAAAAATAACCAGAATAACACAAAATGGAAATAAAACCAATGAAAAAGATAAAACTTAGACAGAACCAAAACTGTGACATCATTAATCCTTTCCTTTAGTTGTTTTTACCCATTTGAACACGTATACATGAACCAGACTCACTGCTGTCTGGATTCGATTTTTGCACTGTCCTCAGACTATTTTAACGGACTCCTAAAACCTGAATTATTTTGCATTTGACTCCTCTACTTCTTTTCCTCATGAAAGTGAGCCACCTCCCTTAGAAAGCCTGAGTATTAGGCTACCTTCACACTGCAGGCCTTGATGCTCAATTCCGATTTTTATTGTGAAATCCGATTTTTTCGCGTTGCCGTTCTTATTTCCAAATATATGTGACTTGTATGTGATCTCCTGTGGGAACTACAGTCGTACAAGGCATGTGTCCTGCATGCACAGTAGAGGACGCGATAACGTCACAGGCCAGCATGCTCTGTGTTTACAGAAGTAAATATGGATGGTAGTGCCAGCGCGCATCTAGCGGTCTTTTTCAACCATAAAAACACAATCTTTTCAATATAGTTAAACATAAATACTACTCTCTGCACCATCATCCGCCATGGTTGTTGTTTTTCTTGCCGCTTCTGCGCAGCAAGACGCATAATAATGACCTTTGTCGGGTATTAATAGCGTTCAGATTGGATGAATATGACCTGGCCGTTTACACACAGGTCACATTTGAAAAGATCAGATTTGTATCGGATGCAGGACCACATAGCCAAGTGGCCTGGTCGCATATGGGCAAAAAAATCGGATTTGGGTCACTTCAGGCTGCGGTGTGAATATAGCCTTAGTGATGGGTTAATGAGGCATCTTGAAGCGTTTCGACACTTTGCCAAACTGTATCAAAACTGCGTTGATACTGTGTTATGGAAACCACCTGCTGGATATTTAAAGACACTGCAGGCAGCTAATTTGACAGACTAAACTGAATTGATTTGATGACCTAGCACAATGATTTAATTTAAGATATTCAAGGTTATATTGTATTATTTTATATCTATGTTTAAATTCAAAATATATTCAAAATAAAGATGCAGCCATAAAATAATGTGAACAACTATCATGACGTGAAAATTTAAGGGAAAATGAGAATGAGGATGTTGAAGACCAGGATTTCAAATATATTTTTTTAAAACAATAAGTACAGAAAAAACAGGAAATAAACTAAATTCAGATAAGTTTAATGAGATAACTGAGAGGAAAAGTACGAAAAAAACAGAAAATTAAAAAGCAATGGCTGAAACGTTCCTATTCCTTTTAGGCGGCTCCAAAATTCTTGATCATTTTAATGATAAACAGCAAAAGATGAGAAGTTTTTTTTTTTTTAGCAGATTCATCATGTTGACAGAAACACAGTTTAATGAGTCAGTCAGTTAGAAACAACACCTGTATCTGTCACATGACTTTCTTGAAACGAACCACAAACACCGATACAGTGTTTTGCTCTATGGGCTCCACGCATGCACAGCATTGGTGTTGCTGGACCCACCAATACTGAGTATAAGGAATGGTATGTCACTATTAAAGTTCAAGTTTTTTTTATATTTGTGTAAAAGTGCTTAGATACCAAAGAGAAAGCTGGAACTGGTAGATTGTAGTTCTTTATTATACTTTAGTTTTATTGTAAGTCTTTGCTCCTGCACAGCATACCTGCATGTGTATGAAGTGAATTATCATTCATGATGCTTCTCTATAGGCTTATTTCTAAGTATGCCTTTATGTGTGCATACATTAGGATGAGTGTGTTTGAGTGCGTCTCCCCTAGAGCCGGTCTCAGTGTTCCGGTGGACGTTAGTCTGCTAGCAGCCTCCATTCATCTGCTTTATTCGTTCACACTACAAAGCATTGCAGCTCCCCAGATGCTACCAACCAAACGCACAAACAAATACACACTCACGCACATTAAACACAATCCCCCAACTGAGACGGGTTTTTTTATTGTTGTTTTTTTCTCCATTGTGCCTTTTCTTCCTTTCTTATTCTCTTAATCATAGCAACAGTTAAAAGACTCACTTTGAATATCAAATTGGCTGCGTTTGTCTGTGTGAGTGTTTTTCTGTGTGGGTGAGCAGGTTTTGGGATTGCGTTGACATTTCTAGTTAGACTGTGCGAGCGCGGCCTTTACACGCTGCCTTTAAGTGTTTTTTTTTTTTTTTTTCTCCTATGCCTGTGAGCGAGCTGCATGTTTGCATTGGGATGCAACATTAAAGATGTATTATCTGATCAAGTGAATGTATGTAGTTTGTTGGGCTAGTCAGGCTCTGGGGAGCTGCTGCTGTGATGGGTGTTTTGCCTCACCATGGTGGTGTTTTTTTTTTTCTTTCTGTGTTGTAATGCACAGATTTCCCTGTGTGGGTGGATTTGTGGTTTGAGGTGAGGAGGGGAAATCTGTCTCAGTGAGTTGTCCGTGAACTTACTAAGTTCCTTATGGCGCCTTGAAACCATATTTAGCTGAAGGTGCATACGCCATCCCTTATATAAACAAAGGATTCTTTAGTATATATATATATATATATATATATATATATATATATATATATATATATATATATATATATATATATATTTCAACTGAGTTATTTATGTATTAAATGACATGTACTGAAAGTGGGAGTTTATGGATGCAATCAAACTGCCTGAAAGGATCTTGACTGTTAGATTTTGTGGGCAGACGATTGGAGACACGTATGGCTGCAGCTTGGAGACCAATGTTGTAGCGCTTGTCACTACCCAATCCGTCCCGGAAGCACGATCCGTCCTGCATGTACATCCAGATATACATACCTCGATTTTATTTTGTTAAAAAGACCTAAATGCCGTTTTTACCATCCCAAAAATCTTAAGTCTACTAAAATATAATGTGTTAAAGGTTAATAATGTATTTCCTGAGGAAATAAATGCCTTAAAATCCTTTCTGTTTTATCACTCGTTTCTATCTGATCTTTTGTCTTAACATTATTGTATATAGTTCCTAATCTAAAGAAAGAAACACCTAAAATGCAGAAAAAGATGGTTTAAACATATTTTGCTGGACTGCTCGGAGAATGTCCGATGATAACGTCAGAGAAGCAGTTTAAGGTAGAAAATGTAAAAAAAAGCATTAAAAATGTCTCACAAAAGTCATAAAACATTTTTAAAGAATTTTATAAGCGTTCTTTAGAGAGTTAAGGATAGAAATTAGTAGTTTTATATCATAATTACATTATTTATGGACACCGGATGTATATCTGTTTGCGCGTGTGGAGGACAGATTGTGCTTCTGTGACGGATCGGGTAGTGACAGGGCTCGCCTAATGGCCACGTCTGGTGAAAATTAGGCTATGGCTTAGTGTCTTTGCCTTTCAAAACGAGACGTCACCTAACAAATCATTCTCACTTGTTTTTTTTTTTTAGTTTATCAAACGTCCTATGTTACAGCGTACTCTGTGACCCATCATGTATTATGACTCGAGGAGGGGGTGTTTTGGACTCTCTTCACCATTCTGCTGTCTACTAACCCTAATGTCACCTAAACCATCAAAAAATGTCTAAAGCAATGCTGTTGCCATAACAGTCTGTTATTGTTTCTAGCTACATGGTAGAGAAACAGAAATGTGACCATCTGAAAAAAGGAAAGGTTTTGATAAGTAAGAGCATAAGTGTATGGCAAGCTATGTTGATATTAAATTTGTAAGGCAATTATATACTCTTCAAATTAAACAGATAAATTCATACTAGTAATTAAAATTTAAAGCAATAACAAATTAAAACTTACTAAATTATAATTTTGTAAAATAAAATATTGATTTTGAGTTGTTTTTTTTTAAATTCTAAAATAAAAAAAATGTCCCAGACAAATTAAAGTACCTTTCAACAGGTGCAAAATTGTACTTCAGGAGCTCTTGCTGACTGCCTGCAAGTGAGTCTGATTATTGGAGCTGCCCCTTTTTGTAAAATAGAGACAGGGGTGTTGATAGCAAGGTGGACTAATTTTAGCATCCTTCCAGGACTGATGTGAATACAGGAGGAGGACCAAAATCACATTCCATGGACAGTAAGAGTGGACATGGGGGCATTTCTGATTTGAAAAACAAACCCACCTGAAAAAAGCAAAAATACAAGCCACTCTAAAACTAAAGATTTTAGGTGTTAATAAAGCCAGAGACTGTTTATAACAGCACTAATATATATGTTTTCAACAAAAAAGATATAACATTGGTGAGAATAAAAATAAAATGTGAAATTTGATTTTTATAAAAAAAAATCAAATTGTAATACAACATTTGAACACATAAAAAAATAGAAAAACTAGAAAATTACTTGGAGAGTGCAAACCTTTGCTAAGTAGCTCAGTTCTCTTGACATATTGTGCCTTCCACCTTGTATTCACAGAATTCTCTAAAATTTCAGCAAAATCCATCCATAACTTTTTATGTTATTAAAAAAAAGACAGACTAAACATAGCAGAGGAAAACCCCTTTGCTGGAGGTAAAATTTTAATATCTGAAAAGTAGATTTTAAAAGAAATCTGACAAAACAATAAAAGATTTATTTCTGGATTGCATTTTTTTTTCCAAATTTCATTTTACAAACTGTGTTTTTCTCTCACATTTTTCATTTAACAAGTGCCTTGCTTGCATTAATTGATGAATCAAAATTCCCTCCATACTAATGCATGTAAACGGTGAATGAATAAAGGTTTCAGAGTCTTAGTAAAATTGTGTGTTTGTTCCTGTTCAGTTTGCACAGGGTGAATACAACCTCAGCGGGTTTGACCTCAACCTGATGCCAGTTTGGAAGAACAACATCACTGGGAATGGGGTGGTCGTCACCATCATCGATGACGGTGAGTCTGACATCATCGTAATAGAGCTGTTAAATGGAAAACGCAGATATTGAAAAATATTAGTTATTATTGTGTTTTTTTGTTTTTTTTTACTTTCGTTGTCAACTTTCGGGTTCGTTTATATAAATGGACACAGCATTGCTGTAAAAAGAAAAAGAAAAAAACAGGCATGTTGTCACCTTTGACCTAGAGTGAAGAGTGTGAATGATTTATCTAAGCTCCTCCGGCAAACCCAAGCTGCACCACCACCTTACCTCCATCATCTTCGTTTCAGTCACGCCACAGTGACAATTCATTTCTCTCTGATTGCTGGGATATCTGGCAACAAGGGAAATGAGAGAGCAGCATCTTATGGGCTCATTCATCAAGAACTAATTGAACCCTCACTTGTCTCGAGTGCTGATAGAGCGGGGTAGTCGTTGGAGTGTATGTGTGGGTGGGAAGGTGTGTTTGAGCCACTGTCTTTTTTGCAGTCGAAGAATCTTTGGGTTTCCATAATCAAAGAGTTATCAGAAGCAAATACTATTTGCTTTCTGATTTTTTCCACTTGTTTGTATTTTTTATGTGTTTATGTGGGAGCAGCATGTTTTTAAAGCTATATATGAGAGAAGGCCTCTCATCCCGGTGTGCAGCGGAATGAGAAGGGTGAGGAGTTAGGTGTAGGATTACGGATTACATAGAGTTTAAGGTTAGGCCATAAGGATGAATGGAAAATGAATGCGCGTTGAAGCAAAGTCCTTGCAAAGATAGAAAGGTATGGTGCATGTTTGTGTGTGTGGGTAGAGGCGAAGGGTGGATGCAGAGTGAGCACGGCAGTGAGAGACTGAGAGACAGAAATTATATTGGAGAACGATACAGAGAGAAATGTCAGGAGATGGCAAAAACAAACGGGATTCAGAGAGGCTGCTGGTGTTAATGTATGTGTATGAGCATGGCTGAGTGGGTGCGTGAGAGAGAGAATTAGACTTGCACCAGTGAATCTCCCCTCCTCTGAGGCTATTGTACTCCGCTCCACCTCTCTGTATTGATTCCACTGGGCAGGAGCTCCCTCGCTCTTTCTCTTTCACTCTGTCTTCCCTTTCTTCTGTTTTCCTTTATCATTTTCCCGCTCTCTCTTTGTTAACTAGACGGAGACGTTTTTTCCTCCTTCCTTGCGTTCTGTCTTTCCTTTTCGTGTCTTAGCCCCGTCTTTCAGGGTCTCTGGCTCTCGCAGCTGAAGGATCATGTTCACTCTCACCTTTAGCCAACCTTTCAATCGATGCCTATTGATTTTAATATCACAATGAAATAAATTATTTCTCTTTGAGTGAAAGCGTCTATGACTCAACCCGCCATAGTGTCTTTCTCCATCTCTGTCCTTCAGCTCTACCCCTTTGTTTTAGAGGTAATGTAATTGGTATCTGAGACTGATCCTCTTAAAACATTGAATCACATTTAGTATGCCACTTTCAATTTATACAGCCGTGTCTCGGTTAGCTCTGAGTCTCTATTTTACAAAAGGCTCTCTCAGAAAGGCGCCATTTAGATATACCTGGTTTAGTTTTATTGCTTTGTCTCCTAAATTCTTGTTCTTATATAGGGAGACATTTTTTCCAATTTTCCTGAAAGCAAATAACACATCTCAGAAAAGGAAATAAATAAATAAATTATTTCAAAAATAAAAAAAACATCTCTCAACTCAAAAAGGGCTTTGAGAGTAATTTATAGTATGACCAAATGTTATAATTTTTTTTTTCAATTCTGGAAGAAAACAAAATATACAATTGTAATTTTCAGAGTGTTTTTAGATTCTGTTTTTTTTTTCTTTTTTAAAGTGTTTTTAAATATTGGAACAAATATTTCACAGTATTAAATAATAGCACAACCAGGTGTGTAATTCAGATCCATGCAGGGCAGGAGGAAACTCTGAGAGTCTACCTTAAGCCACATAGGATTTTTTTTTTTTTAATGTCTTTTGATTTCATTATGTTTATTTATTCATGTTTATTCATTTATGTTTACTGGAACCACAATGACAAAAAAAAGGTACAAGTATTTAGGTTGATGTGGATCCTCTGTTCAGCTTGTTTGGACTGAAAATTATTTAAATTAATTTAAAAAAGTGTTTTGAATGTTTTTTTTTATAATATTAATAAATTAGGTTGTGACGCTGTCAGTTAAAATGAGAGAAAGTGAAAAAAGTGTAGTGCAAACTCAGATTATAATGTGATCTTAATGCAAAAAGTTGACTTAATTTTCAGAGTTTAGTATAAGTCAACTGAAAAAAACAAAGCGGGAAAGTGGTTTACTGTAAGAGGTCAATCAGCACTGAGGCTGATGTCTTTGCCCGCTATTGCTACACAGACTGACACATTGCAGAGTGGACTGAAGAATGAAGCCTGATTATCAAAACGAATAAACTTGAAAGGTTTTGTAAAAAGGAGACGTTCTCAAGCTTGATTTTATCAACATATTATATCTTTAGGATATAAGGACACCTAACATTATAACTGGATTACCTACTAAACCCCTTACCTCATCAATGTGTTTAATATGCACATGTAAAGTTATGGTTGCAGTTAAACACCCCAAACGCCCACTCTAGTTTCAGTATTAGCTTCTAGTTTTTGTCACGTCTTTAGAAATACTTCGACACATGTTAGTTAAAGACAGTATTTTATAGCTGATGCTCCACTGAGGGATTGATGTAACCCTGACATCAGCACCCAGCAGTATATACACTCATAATTTAGAACGTATGCATCGGCTGAGCTCAGAGCTGCGATCAAATGTTTTATGGCTGATTATGAAGACTAAGCATAGAGCTGTATAGAAACAGAGCTGTATGTCTGATGCTCTACGACCCCAGCTGATTGGCTTAATAGGCTGTGTCCTTACAGTACATGAAGTATTTACTGCAGTGTCTGCTGGTGTTTCAATGGTAGTAAATCTGTCACATTGGTTTAGATAATGATCTTGTTTTATATCCAGTACACAAAAGGCGAAGCATAAATTCCTCTCAATTGCTCGTATTGTAAACTTTATCTCATTTTTGCACAGAAATGCTGAGGGTGTTTTAATATCTTAAACATGTGACTCAGTCGCATTTAAAACAGGCAAACGTAGTGTAGAAGAGATTTTTCTTTGTGCTCTTTATCAAAGTTTTCTTTAATCTATCCGTATAATTTTAAGTCGCCCATCTGAGTTTATACCTTAAAAAAGCATCTTTAAATGCATCTAAAGCTAAAGGGTGTTCGGGAGGGGTACCTCTACTAGATAATCTCATCTTGACATAATTATATATATATTTTTTCAGGCTTAATCAGATTAAATGAATATTTCTGAAATTTTTACTCCAGTAAATAGATTTTCTCTTTCTGGATTTCCCTGTATTCAAATCTAAATACTAAATGCTAAATAAAAAGAGCCCCACAGCATGAGACTTCAACAGTCTCACAGTGGTCATTTAGGCCCCGTCTAAATGTAGCTGGGTTTGAGCGTATACAAGCTTCTTGGTTGGTTATGGGTCCCTTTAAGAAAAATTGGATTACATTTCAAACCAGCTCTGTCTTGATACACATGACCAGCTCTGGCATGTTTGAACATGCTAGCCAATGCAGCCCCCAGCACCCTTAAAATGCATGCAACGACACAACCACATCATTGGACCTTTATGTTGCATTTCTGTTTTAGAATCTATGTTAACTGTGGATTTTAAACTTATTACTTGTTGCTCCTTCTTCATTCCCTAAAAAAGCAGTTTTAAACTTGGTTTAAATGCCACTTCTTCCTTCCTTCTTCTACCCTCTTTACATGTATGGCAGCAGTATTGCACCACCCACTGGCGTGGCATATGTGTAACAATGCATATTACAGTAGACTTAGAAGAAATTAATTGTCGTTTTGCATACACAGAGTGTGTAAAAAGTGAAATTTTGTTTGTACAGCTCTCATGACATTTCCATTTCTGACAGTGCAGCAGTGATCAAATGTAAACATTGGGAGAAAAAAAAAACATGTTGCAAAAAAACGCATCAGTTTGGTCAATTTGATGTAGAGACTGTGATATGATTTAGAGTTTTTTTTTTCAAAATTCAGCTTTTATTTTTCATTTTTGTCTTAGAAGCATTGTTGGCTTCAGACAGTTTCATCTTTACATTTAAGCTTTTCTGATCAGACATCTTATCCAACTTTGTGTGGATGCAGTCTTAGATTGTTTTCTCCCCCCATTACATACAGTATGCGTTAGGTCAAGCTATCCTTGCAGGGACTTCCCAGTGATTTCCATTCATTTTGCATGCAATTTTATGGCCAAACCCAGACCCCTACCCTAACCGTAACCATTATTAGTTCATACCTACCCCGAAACTTAATCTGAACTTTACTCACACCTTAGTCCCAAACTCCCAACCCAAAATTAGAACTTGTTCCAAGTTAGTCCTAAAAATGTAACATATTACAAGAAAATTACCTTTAAGCTATCTCTACAATGTAGTAAATACATAACCATTCGGACTTCTGTTGATTGAGGATATTTTTTGATTCAAATGTTGCACATAATATATGCAATTGTTGAAATAGGAAATAAGAATAATTTCCTTTCCCATTGAGCTCCGTCCCAGTGTTCACGGGGATGGACGTCTGTGTCTTCAGCAGGCGTAGAGCTAACAGAACTGGCAGCGTTGCGAGGCAAGGGCTCAAACATGTACGGCTGGAAGCCTTCTACACCAAACCAAGCTTCTGCCACCCTGGCGTCCTCTTCCACAACATCTTCGTCCCCGCTTTCCTCCTCTAAATAAAAAATGTATGACGGAGGAGACTCATCCAAGACCTCCGACACTAAACTCTCCTCCTCTTGCATGTTTCCGCTGTCCATAGCGTTCCTTGACAGTGTCGTTTCTAAGTCACCAATTTAGTGCTACTTGGTCCCAATGGAATTTCCAATTGGGAACCTACTAGCACTAACTTGCTAACTGGTTAGCAAGATGCTTTTGACAATCCGGCCACAACCAAACTCGCTC